AGCGAGGGCCCCCAGAGGTAGACTCTTGAGAACGATCCTCATCGTGTTTTTTCCCCCCGTTCAGGGCTTGCCTCTGTGTACGGGTCCTAGCGGAGTCACATGGTTAGGTGAGGTGCGTCACCGATCTCCGCGGCCCGCCCGGGTGCCCGGGTGCCTTATAGCCCTGCAGCCTATAGCCCAATAGCCCGATAGCCCTATAGCCCTATAGCCATATAACCCTATAGCCCTATAGCCCTACAGCCCTATAGCGCTGTAGCCCTATAGCCCAATAGCCCGATAGCCCACATAGCCCTATAGCCCTACAAAGACTATGGGTTGGATTGGCCCTCAAACCTATAGCCCTACAGCCCTCAAACCTACAGCCCTACAGCCCACATAATCCTATAGCCCTGTAGCCCTCAAACCTATAGCCCTACAAACCTACAGCCCAGCAGCGCTGTTGCCCTATAGCCCAATAGCCCATATAGCCCTATAGCTCTATTGCCCTAACATGATTATGGTTGGGATTGTTCTTCGGTATCATGTTTTTCCTCAATCAGAGCTTGCCTCTATACTGTAGGGGTCCTAGCGGATTCACATGGTTAGGTAAGGTTCGTCACCGATCTCCGCGGCCCGCCCGGGTGCCCGGGTGCCTTATAGCCCTACAACCTATAGCCCTATAGCTGGATAGCCCTATAGACCTGTAGACATATAGCCCTATAGCCCTATAGCCCTATGACCCAATAGCCCATGTAGCCCTATAACCCTGTATCCCCATTGCCCTACAGCCCTAAAAGATTATGAGTTGGGTTTTTCTCCGGTATCACGATTTTTTCCCCAATGAGAGCTTGCCTCTGTAGGGGTCCTTGCGGATTCACATGGTTCAGTGAGGTGCGTCACCGATCTCCGCGGCCCGCCCGGGTGCCCGGGTGCCTTATAGCCCGATAGCCGTATAGCCCCATAGCCTTATGGCCCTATAGCCTCATGGCCCTATAGCTCCATAACCCAATAGCCCTATAGCCCTATAGCCGAATAGCCCTATAGCCCTGCAGCCATATAGCCTTATAGCTCTATAGCCCTAGAGCCCTCTAGCTCTATAGCCATATAGCCCTTTAGCCCCATCGCCCTAGAGCCCTATGGCTCTATAGCCACATAGCACTGTAGCCCAATAGCCCTATATCCCTGTAGCCGTATAGCCCTATAGCATTTTAGCCCTAAAGCCCTATAGCTCTATGTGCCTATAGCCCTATAGCCCCATAGCCGCATATCCCTTTAGCCCTATAGCCCTATAATCCTATAGTCCCATAGCCCTATCGACTCATATCCCCATGGCCCTACAACACTATAGCCCATAGCCCCATAGCCCCATAGCTCTATAGCCCTACAGCCCTATGGCCATAGAGCCCTCCCTGTATACCTATAACCTTATGGCCCTCTAGCCCTTAGCCCTATAGCCCCATGGCCCTATAGCCCAATGGCCCCATAGCCCCAAATAGGCTTTGATTTGGTTTTCTCCGGTATCAATAAATTCTTGGCGGCGCGCGCAAGGGGGTAGCAGGAGGAGGGAAGGCCTCTCAGGAGGAAGCCGCTTCTTGGAAGGTGCCGGCCCTACACCTATAGATAAGGCCCGCGCATTCTAAGACGCAGGGGTGCTTCTAAGATGCCCTGCAACCTCACCCTGACCCCCTCTGCGCCTGGCTGCTGGACCTCTGGACCCGTTGCCCAGGACCGGTTCTTCGTCCCGAGGCCCGAGGCCCGAGGCACGAAATCGGCCCCGCGGAAGCCAACAAGTAGCGACGCGCTGGGCACCCCGTTTTCTTCGACGCGCCAGACGCCCCCTCGCATCCGACGATGCCTGTTTTTACTGTTTGCCGATCTGCGGCCCCCCCTTCTGCGCGTGGCTACAACACGTTCGAAGCCTGGGTCTGCGAGCGCGCGCGAGAGCCTCCGTCTTCCACGTCGACACGCAGTGGCCCGGGCCGAAGCGCTCCACGCCCGGGACGCCAGCGTCGTCGTCGCCCGACGGGGCGGGCTCGACAGAGCCTGGCTCCTGGTCTGGGGGGGAAGGGCGCTTCGAAGACCAGATCCCCCTCCCTCCCCTCCAGGTCCTCCTCCTCCGCCCATTCCTCATTCTCGGCCTTCCCCTGCCCCTTCTCCTCCTCCCCCTCTTCCTCCTCTTCCTCATCCTCCTCCTCCTGCTCTTCCTCCTCCTCTTCTCCTCCTCCTCCTCTTTCTCCTCCTCTTCCTCCTCCTCCTTCTCCCGCTGTCCATCCAGCTCGCGTGGTGCAAAATCACGGCGGTAAGTTTTAGGCTGGTTTCGCCCTTCCAGTGCCCTCACCTGGCCCCGCTGGGATCATCGTGAGGGCTGCCAGGGGGAGGAGGCGGAGGAGGAGGAGGAGGAGGAGGAGGAGGAGGAGGAGGAGGAGGAGGAGGGGGAGGGAGGGAGGAGGAGAGGAGGAGGAGGAGGAGGAGGAGGAGGAGGAGGAGGAGGAGGAGGAGGAGGAGGAGGGGGAAAAGGAGGAGGAGGAGCAGCAGGAGGAGGAGGAGGATACGACGTTCATAGGAAACCGTCGCGCCTGTGCTAACGGCCACAGAGGAGGAGGGCGGCCAACTCGGCCCCCCACATTCATTCCACTACACCGCCGCCCGCCCACCCGAGGGATCTCGGCGAGACGACGAGGATCGAAAAACGAAAATCGGCGGCGGCGGCGACAGCACGGGTCCTGGTACTTGCGGAGGACGGCATACGGGCGCGCGCGCAGGCGCGGGCCCCCGCCACCCCCCCGCCCCCGCCGACGAGGAACAAAACGAATTGCCAGGACAGAAAGAGTGAGCCCTGGAAAGTTGAGGTCACCCCTCCCCCAGCCGCAGCCGCGTCACCTCAGGGTCAGTAGCAGCAAGCGGGCGGGGGGTGGGGATAAATCTGCCATCAGCCGCCCTTCGTCGGCGGGATGACGACCTTCCAGAAACAACTTGCGATTCCTGGCAGCCCGTTCTGACATCACCTGAGGGAGCTCACATTCAAGCGACAAGTGACTGGCCACAACACTGCCCGTGAAAACCCGCATTTGATACAGAGGACGGCATGGCCAGGTGAGACCCAGCACCTGTGCCCTCTGCAGGCGAGAGGACCAACAATTCCCGACTTCGGCAGCGGAGCCGCGGGGGGACGCACAAGAGAGAGCGGGATTCGGCCGACAATCCTGGCTCTCTTTGGCGGGGGGCCTTGAACAGTGGCGACAGCCTGCTGCAAAGCTTCCTCATCAGGTGTGCGAGCTCTCTGTATTGGCGCAAAAGTAACACGAGGCTGGGCAGCACGGCCAGGTTCTCCAGGGACGTCCCCACCCTCAGAGGCAACCGAGACAACCGCAACATCCTCCTCCCCTCTGGCAGCGACGATCCGAACAAAACATGAGCCTCGACTGAGGCGTTCCCTGGTCTTCAAAGTCTTCGCACCCCTCATGCAAAAACTGCACCTCCAAATGAGTCGGCCTGGGACTTGGGCAAACGCATGCCTGGGGTGGGAAGCGTGTGTGTGTGTGTGTGTGTGTGTGTGTGTGTGTGTGTGTGTGTGTGTGTGTGTGTGTGTGTGTGTGTGTGTGTGGGCGTGGGGGTGGGGTGGGGGGGGGGGGGGGTCAGGAGGAGAGGGGGGTGGGGCACGATCTCTGGGCGCCTTGCGGCGCCTACGTTCAATCGTGTCGATCCGTCCGTGGGCGGCAAAGCTCATATATGATTTTACCTGCCACTGTAAAACCTGACGGACCGAATGCAAGGCTGCTCTCATCGCCTTGGCGTGGCGAGGGGGAACCGAATGGAGATCTCTCCCAAGCGTCGCAGCCACGTCAGCCCATCGGTTCCCCTTTCACGTGCGCGTCGTTCCCATGCTGGTGGGCCCTGGCATGCCTTGCAATCAGAGTCTTCCCAAGACCTTCCAAGTCCCTGACCTTATTCCAAATGAGCTCCCAGAGGTCCATATTGGGGCGCCTGGGGTGACAACGCCAACGGGGTCCTAAGGCCAGGTCCTTGGTGAGGCCCTTGTAGTCACTATACACGGTGAGAGGTAGCACAGCTATTTGCAAGACCTGCAGGAACGCATGCAGCTCAGATCTTGGGGGGATCTGCGCTGGCCCAGGAAGTGCCCCGTAGGTAAGTACATCAATCCCCCCATTCTCAAGCCTGGCAAATCCCCACTCCGCTCGGGCCGCCTCTGGCCAATACCAAAAACGTTTGCATGCCCCGTCGGTGTAGACGACTCCTGAAATCATGTCCACCTGCCCGTATCGCACTCGCCATGAGCCTGAGTCGTCTTTCCTGGGTAGCGGTGGAAACCAGCTCCTCGGGCATAGTCCTCTGCCCCAGAACCACGAGCCAACTTCTCTCGGCGGCAGCCCATCGAGCGTCAAGGGAAGAAACCGCTGCAGAGCGAGCATCAGCAATATCAGGACAGTCCCACGGGATATGATGCGAATTGCACTCGTGAGACGGACAGTCGTGGCACTTCGCATCTTCCAAGTATTTGCGAAACTTCAGTCTCGCAGGGGACCACCTGCCCCCACCAACAAATTCACGAAGCAGAGCAGACTCTTCAAACGAAGGGGCCCAAGGAGGTTCACGACGATGGGATTCACCTTCTGGCCCATCAGGCTCTGGAGGGGGATCACCACCTAGGCCGCCTGAGCCCTCCGTGAAAACACGTCTAGTCTCGGAAGCTATGCGTGCCCCTGGGTCCTTGTCTGCCACCCCCACGTCCTCCTCGTCAGACTCCTCCTCCTGGTATCTCCTGAGAAGGCCGATGATGGGCTCAATCCAGTACCCCAGGGGCCCTTTGGGGGCCATGGCAAGATCATCTGCTGGGTTGGGCCTCTGGGCCCATCTTGCCCACATTCGTCGGAGGGACGAGGCGTAGCCAAGCTCTTTGACCGTGGAGGGGGCCGAGGAGCGGAAATCGAGCACCTGTCCACAAACAGTCTTGAAACAAAAGGCAGACGAAGTAGTCCATCCGAGAGCTTTGGCAGACATCAACATTGCCCCAGTTGTCCCCAGCACCGCGGCCCAGGGCCGCCCAGCTCGATAAACTTTCGGAACCTGGACTTGCCAAGCTCTCTGAAGGACGGCGTGGGAAATAACCGTATCTCGGGTGAGAAGAGCCCACTGGTATATTGGCATAGCCCGCGCCTGAATCTGCGGGTAGGAATAAATACTGCCCTGCAGGCAACTGGTAATCCAGGCTGAGCTAGTTGCACAGGCGCCTGGAGTGTACCAGGCGGAACGAAGCACAGATCGCATCTTGGCCACCAGCTGCGGCGGCGCTCCATGCACTCCCAAGCCATATCCCATGGCCGAAGGTAGAGCTTGCCTGAACAACTTGCACACGAGTGGGCCCGCACGCCTGATTTGCTTCAGTCTCGGGGTCCTGGAATCAGCGATTGAAGCCCTTTTGCGCAAACGGCTGTATTGAATCGGCCTTCCCGAGGCCACCTCGACCCCCAAGACCTCCAGGGCACTCTGGTACCTGTATCCCAGCTCCCCAAGACGAGCACAAACACGGCGACCGATGCTAGGCAATGAACACGCGACAGTCATCTTATGTTTAACAAGAGGCAGTCCGAGATCTCGAAGCAGCCGGGCGAGTAATCGAAGCACTTTGCATGACGACGAAACTATGTTCTTCATCGTGGCCACGACAACAACGGTAATATCATCAACATTTATATATATACATATGTATATATATATATGTATATATATCGTCCAATCGATCATGTACGTGTGTCGGTAGAACGAGTCGAAAAAGGGTAAGCATGACGCACTGCAGGCAGAACATGGCGAACGCGCATCCTGGTAGCACTCCCTGAGACGCGTCCACTATCTCTGAGAGGCACCCCTCCCGCGCGAGCCGCCCACCCCCGCTGTATACATACGCGCAGCTAGCACACCCAACTGCGGCGGGAAACCATGCACCCGAGCAGCACCGATAAGCAGCCGCCACCCAATCTTATCAAAACACTTTTCGATATCCACGATGCTGTGGACTGTGACAGGCGTAGATGCTTCCAGCGTCCCTGCACCAGCAGCTTCCGCCTGCACAAGCACTCGGGCAGCCACATCTGTTGTCGACTTGCCCGTCCCTAGCGCCAGGAACGAGCGATTGAGCCTACTGGCCCACTCCCGAACGTGGTCAACCCTTGATTTCGCCCAAAGCCGATAGATCGACGTGAGGAACCCAATGGGCCTATACCCGCCTGTGGGTTTTATCAAGAGAATGATGTGGACCCTCGACAACAGTTGCGGCCACTGCCCCCAGGTCTCGGCAAGATATAAGAAGTAGCCCATGACGGACACGCATGCGTTGGAAACATATGCCCAGTGTCTCGGGCGAAAAAGGTCAGCTCCAACTGCCGTCCTCCTCGGAAACTGAAATGCCGCCGAACGCAGCTCGCTGATGGACAGGGGTGGCAGGCGCGGCCCAGATGCCAACAGATCTCTGAGATCCCCCAGGAGCCCATCATCGGTGTTCCCATAGAGGCTCCCGTCAACGAAATCTCCAGCGATATCCGTGCCATTCCAAGTGGACCCCCAAGAGTCCTTTTGAGCGTCAGCGATGTCCCCAGGGAGGCTTGAAGGTCCAGTGCAAGTAGAGACCTGTGCTAATTTCCATCCATGAGGCTTCGTCCATTTGTGTACGGGCCCAGGAGTCTTAGAGAGGTTGCGCCGCATCCACAGCACAAAAGATCTGGAACGGGCTTGTCCAAGCCGTCGCTCCTCTTGCTCAGCTAGCCGACCGAGGAAGGTACCTACAAAGCTAAGCATGTCCGCGTGGAAATGCGTCTGCGTGCACGCCTGCATGATAATGAATACAACGTCCTCGAGCACGTGCAGAGGAAGTGCGTGCCTGAGCTTACCGTCCTTACCACGCGCACCGACAAAGTCGTACAAGTGTTGCCATGCCCTGAGATGCCCCTGCGCACGTGCATGCCATGTGAGACGAACGTCCTGCACCCTGTACTGCAACGTGCGCAGCGCTCGAGCATATTGAGTGGCAGCGGGTTTGTACCTAGCAAGGGCACCTCCCGCCGTCGAATAAGTATATCGGCCTCCGTGAGACCTTCCACCATACTTGTCGGAGTTGTCTAGCTGGAAGAGGGGGAGAGGAGGAGGAGGAGGAGGCGGTGGAAGGGGAGGAGGAGGAGGAGGGAGGAGGAGGAGGAGGAGGAGGAGGAGGAGGAGGAGGAGGGGAGGAGGAGGAGAGAGGAGGAGGAGGAGGAGGGGAGGAGAGGAGGAGGAGGGAGGAGGAGGAGGAGGAGAGGAAGAGGAGGAGGAGGAAAGGAGGAGGAGGAGAAGAGGAGGAGGAGAGGAGGAGGAGGAGGAGGAGAGAGGAGGAGGAGGAGGAGGAGGAGGAGGAGAGGGAGGAGGATAAGGAGGAGGGGATGCAGAGGTGGGCTAGATCTGGCCTGAACACAATTCGCCTCCGGGGGCGAGGCCCCGTAGTGAGGCTCTGTCGCAACAACCTCGGCTCCTCGAGGGGATGGCGACGACCGCCCCAGACCCCTCACGCCGTGCACGAGTCAGGGACGGCAGCGCGATCCCCGGCGCCTGGCCAAGATCCGGGCGCGGCCTGTTCCAAGCCTTCAGAACGGGGCCACGAACGGAACAAACTCGGATGAGGCATCGGGGCCTCTGACATGCGGCAGTTCTGGAGGACGTGCCGGCCGCCGCGGGCGTTTCCGAACGCTCTCACGGTGTTAGGTCGGGCGTGTCAAAAATGCCCCCAGAATGCACCAAATGTAGCCAACGACTGGAACGATTTTTATCCCGCACCTGGGCCTGTCGACAATTCGCGGGCCCTGGACCATCAACAGAACAACTCCTCCTCCTCCTCCCTCCTCCTCCTCCTCCTCCTCCTCCTCCTCCTCCTCCCCTCCTCCCTCCTCCTCGACCTCCTCCTCCTCCTCCTCCTCCTCGACCTCCTCCTCCTCCTCCTCCTCCTCCTCCTCCTCCTCCTCCTCCTCCTCCTCCCCCCTCTCGGGGATTAAAAGCCGCCCCTCGGGCAACGGTGTAGAGAGTTTGTTTTGCCGCGCAGCCCCCGTGCGCTGTATGGGGGCGACGAGATCCGCATCCAACAGGAACTGAACGAGGTCTGGAAGCCCTGTAGGCGAGCCAAAGCCCTGGGCGACTCGCAGAGGAGGAGGAGGGGAAAGGAGGAAGGGAGGGGCGGGGGACCAGGAAGGAGAAAGGCAAAGGCGAATTCCCACACTTTCAGGTCTCGGAGCGGTGTGGTGGCAGACCGTGCGGTGACCTCGAAATCCCGAGAGACCGTCACCGCGCCGTTGTGGGACCTTGGAGGTCATGGAGGCCCCAGCCGCCCAACGCATCCTTGGAAAACGATCCGAGTCCCAAACCCGTGCGGTCGCACCCAATCCCCACTGCCTCTCGGCGGCGAGCGAGGAGGGGGAAGTGAGAAGGAGAAGGCCTTCTCAGAAGGCGGCGGGACTTCTCAGAACCCTCGCGCCTTCGGATAATGTTTCTGTGTCTTCGGGGAAAGCTTAGAACACTTCTCAAAAGGCCAGGAAACTTCCGAACCTTCTGAGAAGGCCTTCTCCTTCTCACTTCCTCCCCTCGCTCGCCGCCGACAATCCCCACTGACTCACCACATGGTATGGTCACAGCACCGCCTGAGGGCCTCTGGTCAATATCCGAAAGCATGGAGACCTCGGGGCGCAAAAAGCCACGGCTCTGGAAGGCCAGGGCAGTGGGCGCGGCGGCAGCGACGACGGAGAGGGCGGAGACGACGGCGGCCTTAACGGTTGCGGCAGCAGCGGCGGCGGCCGCGGCTGTGGCGACAGCAATCAAGGGGAGCAAAGAGACGCTCTATGAGGAAAATCCTAAGGAAGCCTCGTGCCGCAACGTGAGACTGGATTTGCGACGGATCCACGTCGAATCTACGTCGGGTTGACGTCGGATTCACGTCGGGTGGCGGCGAAGGCGAGCCCGAGGACGAGGAGGAGGAGAAGGATGAGAGAAGGATGAGAGAAGGAGGAGGAGGAGGAGGAGGAGGAGGAGGAGGAGGAGGAGGACAGGAGGGATGACTGGGGAGGAGGGGTGGGGCCCAGGACCTCGGCCGGCGCGTGCGGCGGGAGGGCCCGTGGTGGGCGGGCCGACCGCCGCCCCCCTCTGCGGCTGCAGCAGCGGCAGCACAGGGGGTCGGCGATCGGCCTCCAGTGCAGACGACGGCGGCTGCAACGGCGGCGGCCGCGGCGGCGGAGCACGAGGAGCACGAGGAGCACGGCAGGCTGGAGCGAGCACGAAGAGCACGTGGCCAGATGAAGAACAACATCTGGTCACGTCGTCGCCCGAACTGACGATCCTTTTTCCTGGGTGTCCAACGCAAGCAGAGGCGGGATCACGGCGCCTGATCATCCTGTGCTGGTGCGAGCTCTGCCTCTGGAGGTCTCCGCGGGATCTCCCAGGGAGGGGCCGGCGGCTCGAAGGAGAGGCCTGGCGCGCGTGTGTGCCAGGGTACTCACCGAGCTCCGAGCTGTACAACAAAATGCATCTGCGAACGCATCCCCTTTTCCATGTTTGCACGACGCGCTGTGCCTTGCAAGCGGGCAGCATGTCGCTCCGCTCCGCAGGGCGGGAGGCGCGGAAAAGCTCGGCACGTGGACGCTGAGGGCCCGCGACACGGGCCTCCGGAAAAACTGGGGAGCACGCGTGCCATGTTCATCGGTCAACGCCTCCCCCTCCCCCCAGTGTTCAAAGTTGGCGGTGGGTCTGCTGAGTTCCACCTCGACCGCAGTCTCCCCCGCGCGTGCCAACTTTGTGTTTTGGGGGGCGGGGGAGTGTCCACTCCTAGTTTCCCTCCACCGTATGGATAGCGTGCCGCGCACTGGTAAGTGCTCTGGCAGTATGGAGACAAGGAGGAGAACGAGAAAGAGGAGCAGGAGGAGGAGGAGGAGGAGGAGGAGGAGGAGGAGGAGGAGGGAAGAAAAACAAGAAGGGTGGAGGAGGGACAAGGCGAGGAAGGGTAAACAAATGAGCCGTGGAGGATCAGGGGGAGGAGGGTGTGGTGTCTCCACCTGCGCCTGGCTCGCAGGGAGTGGTCCCTGTCCGCGCCAGGCTCGCAAGGCGTGATAGGCATGGCATTTCCTACTTCCTCGATGTCACGGAGGGTGCGCTGGGTGTGGGCTCCATTGCCCGACCCGCTACTGCTTACATCAGTGCATCAGCCATGCGAACACTGAGTATGTGGGGTTCACCGAGACAGAGTATATCTGGGTCGCACGGCGCCCGCTTCTGGTTTGATCTTGGGGTTACTCGAGGGGGGGCTGGCGGCTGGTAAATCTGGCCAGATGTCCTGCTGGATCCGCTGCTGATGATGGGCCGTCCAAAATTCCAGCGTCCTGCGCAGCAGGCCATGGACCGCATGGAGTCGATCATGAGGATCGTTTGACCGATCCCCATCCCCAGCGGCGTGGCCTGGGCTCCGCTAGCCCACGGGGATATAGGTCGTTCTCTTCGGGATTCGAGGGGTGTATCCCTCACTGGGGTGGTAATTTGATGGGGGTCTCGGAGGGGATGGAGACGGGGATGGGGATCGGTTAGACGATGCCGAGATCAGGGGCCCACTTCAGCTTCGATTCGTGACGCAGGTCCCCGAGTGGTGGCCCAAAACGGCGGCTGTTGCTCCTCCCGCTGTGGTGCTGCCGTGCCGCCGTCGTCGTCGTCGTCGTCGCCTTCGTCGTCGTCGTCGTCGTCATCGTTGTCGTCGTCGTCGTCGCCGTCGCCGTCGCCGTCGTCGTCGCCGTCGCCGTCGCCGTCGTCGTCGTCGTCGTCGTCGTCGTCATGCAACATAGCACGTGATGTTGACACGATGTGCACAAGGCGCGGCTAGAGCGTACACAAAACAAACCGCGCCCTGCCTGCTGGGGCCAGGCCGGGGAAAAAAGTAGCCGCGAGCTGCGGAGGACATCGCCCGCAACAGCCGCCCCGTGTCGCCCGCCGTCCCCCCCGAGTCAAGAGGAGGAGGACGAGGAGGAGGAGGAGCGCACGTAACCTGAGGCGGTTCGTGGTGACCTATGCACGCATTGCTGCAAGTGCGGCGGCTCGAATTTCGTAATGGTATGACGGCACCGGCTCTCGGCGCCGAAGAGAAGTGTCAGCTTTCAATGTATGATAGATGTGGAAGCTGAGCACTACAGTATGGTGGCACCTGAGACGGGGGTACTCGACCTCTGTGTCAGGCTCCGCTCCAAGACCCAGACGCGTGAGTGGAGAGACGGGGAGAAACCCGCGAGGGAGGGCGAGCAGGTGAAGCAGTCGAGGGCACACGAGGTAGTGGGGGAAGGCGTCAGGGTCTGAGCAGCCGAAAAGACAGGAGCAGGCTGGAGCACTGGGAAGTCGGGCGGACGTGGTCCACGCCCCTGCCAGGGTTTTGATATGGGCCCAGGCCCAGGAGGGAGGGGTGCGGGCAAAAAGAACACGGAGGGCACACCATCGATTCTCCAGCTCAGGAACAGAGGGCACGGCCTCGGGTGGAAGCCAGGACAGGAGGCGGCGGCGGAGAAGGGAGGGAAAGACGTCAGGGAAGAGGGACGAGCAGAGGATACGGGAGAGCACTCTCTGTGGACGTGGGCGGCGCTCCTCAGATGCTGCCGCCTCAATCTCACCTGCCGCAGCTGTCGTCGCTGCAAGCCACTGTCCCGCCTCCACACCAGGAGCGTGGCTGAGAGAGGACTCTAGGAATTCGGCAATCGAAACAGATCGGGCCCAACAGGCGGGCGAGACGCGACCTGCTGCCATGGCGCTCAGGGGGCCAACCATCTGCCCGTGAGAGCGGAGGAGCAGGAGAGGTTCCGCCCACCCCCTAGGCCCGTCCCGAGGAAGAGTGAGGGTGGCCGTCCGCCAGGCCGATGAGGCGGCGAGGACACGGGCAGACCGCGGGACTGCCGATGGGAGCCAGGCACTGATGCCTAGCAGCTCTTTGAGGCCGAAGGAGTTGGGTGGGAGACGGAGGAGACGGTGGAGGACGTGGCGCTCAGCCCGAAGGAGGGACGAGGAAAGGGGGAAGAGCTGACAGACATAGCTGAGGACTGGGAGAATGCATGAGTTGTAAAGCCTGCAGCAAGACTCCGCAGGCGCTCGGGGGAGGGCCGTCTCGGCCGTCCGCGAGCGCCATTTCCTGATCGGGGCAGCCCACTGATGGTCTATAGTGGCTGCGGGTCCAAACTCTATGCCCAGAAAAGTAGTGCGACCGCGCACGTGAAAGCCAGCCCACTCTGGGACCAGGCTCGCTATGAGATGCTCGAATCTATCTTGGACCATTGGTGTGCACTCCTCAGCCAGGGGGACAGCGCAGCATTTTTCGGGCTGGAGGACGAGGTTGGCCAGAGTGCGGGCGGCTTCGAATGGTGGGAGGAGGTCGGGAAGGATCGAAATCGAGGGGAGGGAAATACCCACGTCATCCGCCGTCGCTCCACACTCTGGGTATAAACCTGGGCACCATCTGAACGGGCTTGGGCACATCGCTCTGGCTGAAGGACTGGAAACCTGGGCCTCGAGGTGACGCAAGAAGGGATCCATGCAGAGGGCCCAAATGGTGCCAGACAAGGGACAGCCTTGGGCCACTCCTGAGGAGACCATAAAGAGCACCATCCTACGAGGAGGAGGAGGAGGAGGAGGAGGAGGAGGAGGAGGAGGAGGAGGAGGAGGAGGAGGGGAGGAGGAGGGGGAGGGGGAGGGGACGGGGGACAAGCTAGGTGCGCTCGCGTCATATCTGACATCCTACCCCTCCCTCCCATCCCTTACCATGGCGCAGATCCCCTCTCTACTCGCACCGTCGGATGTCGAGCAGGGCAATGATCCCGAAAGGGTACGCGATGCATTGTAGTGGTGGAGGAGGAGGAGGAGGAGGAGGAGGAGGAGAGGGGGAGGAGGAGGAGGAGGAGGAGGAAGGAGGAGGAGGAGGAGGAGGAGGAGGGGAGGAGGATGACGATGAGGACGTTGTCTTGTTTTGCATGTGCGGCGTATGGCGGGCCTCTAGGGGCCTTCGCGTGGCCCCCTGAGTGCGTGATGTGGCCCCAGAGGAGCTCCACGACCCGCTGAGAAGCCCCATGTCATGAGGAGGAGGAGGAGGAGGAGGAGGAGGAGGAGGAGGAGGAGGAGGAGGAGGAGCAGGAGGAGGAGGAGGAGGAGGAGGAGGAGGAGGAGGAGGAGGGGGAGGAGGGCGAGGAGGAGGAGGGCCAGGTTGTCCCATGGCACCCGAAGCCGCCTCCTGGAAGGGGCATCCCAAGACGGTGCGGTGACAGACCATGCTGTGACCCCGGACTCCCCGAGAGCCTCACTGAAGGGTCCGCCACCGCACGGTGCTGGGACCCCGAAGACTCCAGTCGCCCGAGGTGCCCTCGGAGAACGGCCCGAGTTCCAAAGTCGTGCGGCCACCTCGAGTCCCCATTGGCTCACCGCACGGTGTGGCCCCCGCATCGCTCGGGGGCCCCCGATTCGACCACAGGAGGCGCCTTCGAGCCGTCGCCCCCTGGGGTGCAGGGCGCGTCGGACCGCTTGTTGGTTCGGCTCTCCAGGCCTGTCTGCCAGCGTGTCGCGCTCTATGCCGCCAAGTTCGACATCAAAATCTCGAGATGCCTCAGATGGCCCAGGATGTTGCCGAGGTGGCCCAAGTGGAACTCGGCATGGCTCAAGATTGCCCAAGAGGGCCCCAAGTGACCCAGGACCTCTGGAGTGTCCAAACCATTGGAAAAAACACACAGGCGTCTTCTGTGTTTCCGATGCGCTTGGGATTCCCAGCTGCCCGGCTCAAGATGGTTCCAAGAGGGACCCGGGCAGCACAGCGAGGGCCGAAGTCGTTTCAAAGGCGACTCCAAGATGGCCACGAGACGCCCCAGGACGTTTCTGTGATGGACACACGGTGCTGCTGGAGGGGCCCACCCGAGGCGGCCTCTAGAGTCTAGAGGGCCCCAAGAAGGACCCTAGAAGTCCCACTGGACGATCTAGAGGAGCCCAAGATGGCTGAAAGGGCCCCAAATGACCCCAGATTGCCCCAAGACTCGTCGGCGACAGGCGGAAAAGGGAGGGGGAAAACTGTTCCTCGAGCGTCCAACGCTCCACGGGGGGAAGTGGCACTCGTGGCCCGTCCGGGAAAAACACTGGTCGGGAGTCAGAGGCGTAGGTCGGGCGTGTCCCCCTACAGGCGGATTTTGGACGAAAGATTAAACATAGTCCAGAAAAAACAGAAATTGCTCAAAATCAAGAAAAATCGTCCCCTGATTATTTTTTGACTATTCTTGAACTTTCCTCCTGTAGAGGGACAGGCACGACTTCGTCAGAGGCCTGGCCGACCTCTACCGACGCCACCACCCCGCTAAGCAGGCGCCAAAGAACCACTCGGCCACTCGGCCCACACGTGCGCGCAGGCTGGCCACGGAAGGCAAGCCACGAGCGCCGGGCGCGAGGTACCAAGACGTGAGGAGGGGGCAGGCCGTCTAAGACGGCGGCAGGGCTTCTCAGAAGCTCTCCGGCCTGCCTGCCAACGCCCACCACATCCGCCACCGCGTCCCGAGGCACGAAGTGCCGTGTCCTCGGGTCCCTTCGGATCTCGCGGGATTCTGGGCGCTCCCGTTTGCTCCTGGGCGCTCCTGAGGTTTCTCACGCGTCATCGCGTGACTTGTCCGGAGGCAAGTAGGCCCCGAAACAGGCCAAGAGGGCCCCGCGAGGTTCCTGAGACGGTCCATGAGGGCCCCGAGACGGCCCAAGCGCTCTCCAAGGCGCCCAAGATGGAGGTGGCCCAAGACGCCCCCAAAGCGCCCCGAGAGGGCTCCAAGGGGCCCGCAAGAAGGCCCAAAGAGGCAAAGTTCCATATTTCCCCAATAAGTTCTTGAACGACCTTTTGGGGCTTCCGACGCCCCAAGACGGCCCCGTAGCCCCCTGATATCGCCGCAAGAGGCCCCCAAGATGCCCGCAAGACGGCCCAGGAGGGCCTCTAGATGGCTCAAGAGGCTCCACGGCGGCCCCAGGGGGCCACTCGGATTGACACCCTCTGCTCCAAGATAACCCCCGAGACCGCCAGCAGGCCCCCAAGAGGCCCCAAAGATCCCAGAGGTATCCGAGACGGCTTGAAGAGGCCCTGGAGAGGCCCCAAGGCACACCAAAACCGCCTCCGAGAGGCTTCCGAGAGGCCTCCCAATAGATTCCCTCTTGGCTTCCGGCCTACACCTCAGACACGGTGGCGGGGTGGGCCGAAGGCCACTGGATCTTGTGTTTGCACGGCTTGCTTGCTTGCTTGCTTGCTTGTGTTCGGGCTTTCTTGTTTGGATTAAGTTGTATGTTTTGCTTGCTGATTTGATGGCTGACCCTGGTTGCCGCCTTGCTTGCTGGCATTCGCATGTATTACTGATGTGCTCATGTATGTGCCTGATTGTTTGCATGCTTAAGGGATCGTGCTCGCATGTGTTGCTCGACTCTTTGCCTTCACATTATCAGCTTGATCGCCTGCTAGCTTGCCTGCTCGCTTGTTCTTGCATGGTTTCCTTGTCCGATCGCTTGCATGCTTGGCATCGCTGTCGTTTCTTGTTGCTCGCTTGTCATGGCTTACGACACTCTCTTGCTACTGCTTGCGACGAGTCCTACAGTGCTCGGAGCCAACGCTTGTAACCAAATGCTCCATCTAGGCTCTAACACCGCCCGGCTGACAAATCCAGAAACTGGCTGCTCGCGCAATGCAGAATAACACCCGCAGAGAGCAGAACTGCAGTACGGGGAAAAATGTCCAGACCCAGTGCTTCCACGACAGACCGCCCGAGGACAATACCATCACCCGTGCTTTGCCCACGATGAAGACGTCGGCGATGCCAGCTCAGCGAGCACATGCGCCTGCCCCGTCGGTGATCCCAGCTCGCATACCCTGCTCCTCACCCTCGTTGGCGATGCCAGCTGGCACAACTCGCTCGCCTCACTCTCCAAGTCCGACCGGAGCTCCTTGCACCCCCACCGGCTCTTGCTCAAACCTGTTGAGCTCAAAGGGGAGCTCTGCCCGCCTGGGCTGGTCTTCTGCGAGGCAGCTCGCAAGGAGGGACTACATTCTGACCTCGTGGGCGTATCCACCAAAGCAGTTGTTAACGAATCCACCAAAGCAGATTTGAGAAGGAGAAAACAACTGCATAAACATCAGCGTTTGGCGCGCCGTGCGGATTTTCGGGATCGGCGCTGCCCCCCCCCTCCCTCCCGGGCGCGCGGAGCGCGACAGGGGCGGCGCCGCCAGGGGGGCCCAGCGCTGATCCAAGAAGTCCCCGCTGAGTTCCGACAAAATTATGTTTATGCAACTCTTTCTTCTTCGAGATTTGGAGTCGATCTCCCTCCGCAGCTCACTTGCGATCATGATGGGCCTGTTTTCCACCACCACCAGAAGTTGGAGGGGGGAGTGAGGAGCAGGACGAAGAGGAGGACGAAGAGGAGGAGGAGGACGAAGAGGAGGAAGGGAGGAGGAGGAGGCAGAAGGAGGAGGAGGAGGAGGAGGAGAGGAGGAGGAACGAAGGAGGAGGAGGAAGGAGGAGGAGGAGGAGGAGGAGGAGTTGGAGGAGGAGTTGGAGGAGGAGGAGGAGGCCCCCTCCCCCTCCTACCTATGGTGGTGGCGGTGGAAAAACAAGCCCACCAGATCAGGTCGGCGCGGTCTTGCGAACTGGCCAGCTCCCTGTGCAGTAGCCTCTCGCAGGCCCCGAGGCGCTCCTCCGTGGACGCCGCGAGCCTCCGCAGCTCGCCGCGCAGAGCGGCAACCTGACTCGAGCCGTGCCGCTCCGCGGAGCCGATGCGCCGGCTACACGTGGGAGTGACCCTCGCTTTCCCCCCCCCCTCTCCTCCTCCTTCTCCTCCTCCTCCTCCTCCTCCTCCTCCTCCTCCTCCTCTCTCCTGCTCACTGCTCCGCTCCTGCTCCTGCTCCTGCTCCCTGCTGCCTGCTCCTGGCTCCTGTTCCGCCTCCTCCTCCCCTCCTTCTATGCTTATCCTCCTTTTGGCGGCGCGCACAAGGGGGTAGACTGAGGCGGGGGAAACCAGCTTCTCGCATAAGCGGAAGGCTTGCTTCCTGGAAGCCGCCGCTGAGCGATCTCTCATCTCTATAGGCAAGGCTGGCGCCCTCCAGGAAGCAGCCTCCTCCTAAGGAGACTCCCCCCCCCTCCCCCCCACGCCCCCGTGCGCGCCGCCAGCCCTGGGCCAGCGCGACCTTCGGTGCGCGCATGTCGGAGGCCACGGGTCGCAGCCAGGCGGGCAGGCCGCTTCTGGCAGGGGCCAGGTGGAACCCTGTGGGCCCGCACCAGAGGTCACTCTGGCGAGGGGTTCGGTCGGGCATGTCCCCCTACAGGCGGATTTTCGACGAAAAATAAAAAAAGGTCGAAACATAAGCAAACCATGCAACAACAAAAACAATAGAAACATCGCCCCCAATGTATTTTTTGACTATCTTTGAACATTCCTCCAGTAGAGGGACAGGCCCGACTCAAGACCAGGTGGAACCCTGTGGGCCCGCACCAGAGGTCACTCTGGCGAAGTGTTCGGTCGGGCATGTCCCCCTACAGGCGGATTTTCGACGAAAAATAAAAAAAAGGTCGAAACATAAGCAAAACATGCAACAACAAAAACAATAGAAACATCGCCCCCAATGTATTTTTTGACTATCTTTGAACATTCCTCCAGTAGAGGGACAGGCCCGACTCAAGACCAGGTGGAACCCTGTGGGCCCGCACCAGAGGTCACTCTGGCGAAGTGTTCGGTCGGGCATGTCCCCCTACAGGCGGATTTTCGACGAAAAATAAAAAAAGGTCGAAACATAAGCAAACCATGCAACAACAAAAACAATAGAAACATCGCCCCCAATGTATTTTTTGACTATCTTTGAACATTCCTCCTGTAGAGGGACAGGCCCGACTCAAGGCCAGGTGGAACCCTGTGGGCCCGCACCAGAGGTCACTCCGGCGAGGGGTCACACTCCTACGCGAGGCCGGATGCGCTCCTCCACGGCGTCGCGGGGCACGCGCCCGGCGCCCTCCCGGTGCGCCTGCCGCAGCAGAGGAAGAACGGGCGGCATGAGCAGAAACCTTCTGAGGTCTGCGCGGATTTCCCTCGGCGGCGAGCGACGGTCGGGGACGCGCAAGCGCGGATTAGCGATCCGTGGATTTGGCGCGCGGTCGCCAAATCCATGGATCGGGGAGGTGCCCTCCCCAAAATGCGGCTGGTGCCGCCTGGTTCGGCGGCGGAGATCCGCGATTCCCCATGGAAACGGGACCCGTCGCTAATCCACGCCCCCTTAATCCATGCTTGCGATCGTCTGAGACGGGGGAAATGGAAACAAGAAGGCCTTCTCGGAAGGCGGCGAGACTTCTCAGAAGCCCTCGCGCCTTCTGAGAGGTGGTCTGTGTCTCCAGGGAAGGCTTGCACGAGAAGGGCTCTTGTGTACCGCACCATGTTTGAACTCCCTGCAAGCCTCGCTCCAACGCGGTTCGGTGCATAGGTGCTTGACTCTAAGAGCCGATCAACTGTGCACCGTACCATTCTGGGAGGTCGAAGATCGACATCGCTTCGGGAGACGCCAGCGCGGTACGGTGCATAATTACATATTGTCCGCGGAGCTTAGAAAATTTCTGAGGGCCGGAGGATTGATTCCCCAATCAGTGCCTGCACTGAAGGGGTAATAGCGGAAATAAAGATTTGGTGAAAATGTCCCGCCGATTTTGGTGGCAGGCTGGGTTCTCCGGCTCCCGGTTCTGGGTTCCCGGTTTCCTGGCCACTGGTTCCGATCCGATTTCGGTGGGCTCCTGGGTTCCTGGTCGATCTCCTTATCGATCTCTCTTTATCGATCCCATTTGAAACCATACACTGCTTGGGGGTTTTCTCTGGTGTAGTGAGCCCGAGAAGGCCCGCCCCTTCTCACTTCCCCCCAGGCGGGCCGCCGAGTCTTGGATCGGCGCTGGGTCCCCCTTCCCAGAGCGCGCGGGGGGGGCTCGGCACCGATCCAAGAAATCCGCGCGCAGACCATCTCGAAAATTCACGCTGATACTGCCTTTCCTTCCTCGGCGCAGGTCGGCCAGCTCCTTCGCCTGCCAGGCAGCCGTGTCGCGAACCGTCCTCTCGAGGGTGTCCACGCGCCCTGCAACGGAGGCTTGCCAACCGAGGCTCTCGCGCCCGATCTCGGCAACGCGGCTCTCGAGCTGGTCCCGCGAGCGCTTGAAAATCTGCAGATCTTTGGCAAACCTGTCTGTGCAATCTCGCTGCTGCTGCTCCACGCGGGCAACGCGGTCTGGCATGGACGCGCTGCTGCTGCTGAGCTCCGCGAGCCGACACTCCATGCCCGCAAGCATCGCGCAATACCTCTCGGAGAAGTCGGCAAACATGCCCTCCATCCTCTCTACATTGGCACTGGCGGTTCTGTGAACGTCCTCTCTCACACACGCATGTCTGTTCGGCAACTGACACACCTCCGCTCCAAAAAGATCCAAGCGCTCCTGGATGGTGCACAGTCTGGACTCGGTACTGCCGCCGAGCTCCGCATGCTGGCGCTGCAGATCTGCAGATATCTTGCAACACTTCTCGGACAGCTCGGCCAACGTGTTGCCCATGTCGTAACTGCGCTCCACCACTGTGGCATGGCGCGCATGGGAAGCGTGCTCGATGCTCGAAAAGCGCGCCTCTATTGCGTTACGAAGCCCATCGTTGGACCGCGAAAGCTCGTCAATCGCCTTCGCGTGCTTGCAGAGAGAGTCATCGGTGTGCTTCTCCAGGAAGCCGAGCCTATCCCGGAGGCGGTCCTGGGCGTTCGTCAGGCCGACCTCCTCCTGCAGCTGGAACACATCCTGCCTGAGCTGCCAGATGTCGCGTGATAGGATGGTGACCTGCTCCTTGCTCAAATTGATAAGAGCCGCACGGTGTCCAGACTTCTTGGCCTCAGTTTCCGCGATCTTAAGGCAGCTACTGAGGTTCTTCGCCAACGATTCCTTGGAGCTGCCAGCCTCGCTTGCATCGAACATGGCTGCCGCGCCAGCGAGCGACCGCCAAGAGGCTGACAGTAGGCAGAATCAAGCTGAACCTACCCCTTCTGATGGCTTCGGTCCAGATGACGACTGCAACATCTCAGCGTGCTTGGGCGTCGGACCCCACAGACGGGGCCGTTTCCCACAATTTGGCGTGGAACCCTGGAGACGGCTGGCCTTGGAGGCCCGTCCATTATGTGTGCACTTTTCAGTTTCGTGCGTTTATTGCTCGCGAGATGATCCAGGATGCTCCCCGATGGCCCTCGCAGAGAACAGATCGGGTAAGAGGGCCAAAATCAGGTAAGAGAGCTGAAAGAGGCACCCCTCGGTTCCCGAGGACTCCTCGTCACGTCCTCAAACTCCGGGGGGGGCCTTGCGCGCACCAATTCGCCGAGGGAGAGGACGAGGAGGGGCAGCGAACTCGCGGACGAGTGGGGCAGCAGAGACAAGAAAGCCTATAGGGGAGATCCGGGGCCCAGACGAAAGGTGACAACAAAAACGGGCCGGTGCACGACGCAAGCATTCGGCCCAAGGTGCCGCGGGAAAGCGACCTGAGTTTTCTCGCCCAATCTCATCGTGCGAAGCTTGGCCAGAAACGTTGGCGGGCTTCCGGAACATGGAGATCAGCAGGGCCGAAAATAGAGAGAAACCTCCCCTCATGATTTTTTCGTGACTCGAGGGTGTCTGGGGAGGGGGGGGCCGCTGGAGGAGGAGGAGCCGCCCGCTGGAGCCGCGCGCTCCTCCGGGAGGCGGCAGCCGAGGTTGTGGCTCTGGCAGCACCACGCCTTCTTCTCCGGCGACCACCCCGCCCTGCAGCGGCTGAGAGAGAGTCTCCCTCACCTGCCGTTGCCCTCTCGTCGTCGTCGTCCTCCTCCTCCTCTTCCTTCATCTTGTCCTCGAGTTTCTCCTCCTCCTCCTCCTCACACCTCATCCTCCTCTTCCTTCATCACTCCTCCTCCTCCTCCTCATACCTCCTCCTCCCTCCCCTCCCCCTCACCCTCCTCCTCCTCCCTCCTCATCGATCGCCTCCTCCTCTCATCCTCCTCCTCCTCCTCCTCCTCCTCCTCCTTCCATCCCCTCCCTCCTCCTCTACATACTTCCCCCCGTGTCCTCCGTTCTCGCATCCTCCTCCTACCATCCCTCATCAGCATACTTACTCCTCTCCTCCTCCTCATCCTCCCCCTCCTCCTCGCCCTCCCCCTCCTTCCTCCTCCTCCTCCTCCTACTCCTCCTCCTCCCTCCTCCTCCCCTCGCCTCCTCCGCTCCTCTCCCCCCCCCTCCCCATCCTCCTCCTCTCCTCCTCTTCATCATCCTCTTCCTCCTCCTCCTCTCCTCCTCCTCCTCCTCCTCCTCTACTCCTCCTCCTTCCTCCTCCTCCTCCTCCTCCTCCTCCTCACCTCCTCCCCCTCCTCCTCCGTCCTCCTCCTCCTCCTCCTCATCCTCCTCCTCCTCCTCCTCCTACCTCCTCCTCCTCCTCCCCGAATCTACACTCTCCTCCTCCTCCTCTCCCACTCCTCCTCTGCTCCTCCTCCCCTCCTCCTCCTCCTCCTCCTCCTCCTCATCCTCCTCCTCCTCCACCCCCTCCCCTCCTCCTCCTCCTCTCCTCCTCCTCTCCTCTTCCTCTTCCCCCTCCTTGGCTACCTGCTCCACCTGCTCCTCCTGCTCCTCTCCTCCTCATCCTCTCCTCCTCCTCCTCTCCTCCGCCCCTCCTCCTCCAATCCTCCTCCTCTCCTCCTCACCCTACTCCCCTGCTCCTCCCGCTCCTCATCCTCCTCCTCCTCCTCCTACTCATCCTCCTCCGTCTCCTCCTCATCCTCCTACTCCTTCTCCTCCTGTCCGCTCCTTCCTCCTCCTCCTTATCCTTCTCTTATCCTACTCCTCTTCCTCCGCCTCCTCTCACACCCGAATATCCGCCTCCTCCTCCTCCCACTCATCCTTCTCCTCCTCCTCCTCCTCCTCCTCATCCGCCTCATCCTCCTTCTCATATCCTCTTCCTCCTCCTCCTCCTACAACCTGCTCTCTCCATCCCCTCCTGCTCCTGTGCCCGATCACGCGCGCGGCCGCTCCCGCAACCTGAGCCCATATGCCGTCCCGCGGCACCCGAGCCGCCAAGTGCCCTCTCCTCTGGCCGACCCCTCCCCCGCCCGTTACTCCTGCTGATTTTTGTTCCGCTTTTCGGCGATGATCCGAGTTATCCGAGGAGGGGGGGGGAGGGGGGGCGGCCGACAACAACCAAACTTTTTCGGTTAGGGCAAACCTCACGTATGCCCGCGCGCACCAACACTGTGTACCCCGTTCGGACCTGCGCTACCGACCGACCGCTGTATCCCCTGACCCTATAAACAATCTCCCTCCCTCCTGCACCCGCTCCTGCACTTGCTCCCGCTCGCCTGACACCCTGCCGTTGGGAAGAATCACGACTGCACGTTTTGGCTACTGTTCCACCTCTGGGCGCCCGGGACCGCCAACAGGCCGATCCTGGGGAAGGGATCCAGACCTCCGGAGCGCCAGCTGCGGTCGGGAGCCTCTGGATAGCGTGTCGCCGCGACGGCCCCGGCCACACGCTATGCCTTGCGAGCGGGCAGCGTGTCGCTCCGCTTCGAAGGGGCGGGAGGCTCGGAAAGGGCTCGGGGCGTGGACGCTTGGGTGTGTCTGGAGAGCGTGTCGCGCCGAAGCGCGTTGGGTCAGAGCTGGCGGAACGACACGCGATCCAAACGTCCCTGGCCGTACGTGAACACATCGCGACGTCGGATGTCTGGGCCCTCCAGAGCCGCTCCATTGCGCTCTCCCCCCGCTCCTCGCGCACACCCTGCTCCTGCACCCGCACCTCATCTCGCTCCTGCACCTCCTCCCGCTCCTGCACCTGCACCTCGTCGATGGCTGAATGGCGGCCCAGGTGCCACCCCATGAAACATGCCTACTGAAAAGTTGGTGAGAGTTGGAGGCCCAAATCGCGAGAGGGGCTCTCCCCCCGCTCCTCCCGATCCCCCCCCCTCCTCCTGCACCTGCACCTCTGCTGGCCTCGTCGTCCACCTGCAGCCGCCGTGCTGCCAGCAAGAACGCCGGTCAAAGAGCGAGGGATCTTTCTTCTGGCCACGGCTTGCCTCGGCCACGGACAGGTCACACGACCCGAGCCCAAGGAAGATAGGGCTTCCTCCTGAGCCCCCAGGGGTGGCCCACGTTTCAGCGTCGTGGCTGTGCTTGACCTCCCCGTCACCGTGGAAGGCTGGAGGCCGGCGGCGCCTCCAGCCACTGATCGCACCATCACTTGAGCTGGCGAAGCACAGCGGAGATTGCGGAGCCCCGTCCTGACGGCCCCCCTCTGGCTTCTGTTCCTCATGTCCTCTCCTTTCCTCATGTTCCCCTCCATCCTCCTCCTGGCCCTCTCTCTTTCATCCCCCTCCCCCTCCCTCTTCTCATCCTGCTTCTTTCCTTCCTCCTCCTGCCACCCCCTCCTCCTCCTCCTCCTCCTCCTCCTCCTCCTCCTCCTCCTCCTCCTCCTCCTCCTCCTCCGCGCCTCCTCCTCTCCTCCTCCCCTCCTCCTTCCTCCTCCGCCTCTCCTCTCCTCCCTCTCCTCCTCCTCCTCCTCTCCTCATCCTCCTCCTCCCCCTCCTCATCCTCCGCGTCTCCTCCTCCTCCTCCTCCTCCTCCTCCTTCGCCTCTCCCCCTCCCCCTCATCCTCTCCTCCTCCTCCTCCTCCTCCTCCTCCTCCTCCTCCTCCTCCTCCCTCCTCCCTCCTCCTTACTCCTTCCCTCTTCCCTCCTCCTCCTTCCCACTGCTCTCGCCTTAGCGACGCGCACTCTCGTGTGGCACATTTGCAGCAGTTTCAGAAATTGAAGGCGGTTCCATGTCAAACTGTGGTTTTCGCCGTAGCGCCGCGAACAATCGTCTCAAAAGGTGCACAGCAGTTTCAAGGTTTCGTATGCCTCAAGAGTCCCATGAATGTTGTTCTCGCGCGATTTAGGATTGCCAGGGCGCAGCAATGACGTTGACTCGCAGTATTGAGGGCCCAGGAAGGGGATTCTAGCACGATTTGGGATTGTCAGGACGCAACCGTCACGTTGATTCGCGTCGCTGAAATCCGCAGAACTGTGTGTTGGCACGAATCTCAGCCGGCTGTCTCGAATTGGGCACTTCCAGCAGTGCATACAATGGAAGGACCCATGAAGAGAGAACTTGGAGGGTGGGTTGATCGCAAAGTCGTTGAGGCGTCTTGGGTTTGCACTGGTCACTCCTTCTCCCCCTCGCTCAGTCATTCGCTCGCTCCTCCCCCCCTCACTCATTTCCTCCCTCATTGCGGGTGTCTCGCGCAACATCAGCTCCGTGGGTTGGCCACGCAGTGTAAGCCGCCCACGCTCACGCCGTGGGAGTCTCGATCGTGTGTCCAGGGTTTTGCGACCCAGGGATCTTTGGCCAGGTTGTCGTGATCTGCAGGCGGCCAGGGGGTCTGAGCTGGTTGAGACACGAGAATGAAGGGACCCTGGGGCACACTTATAAATACCCACAAATAACCAAAATCCCAATATTTTCTCATTTTTTGGTTTTTGTCTTCCCCCCACTTCCTATATGTTCCCATAGTTTCCGGGGGATCGACGATTAATTGTGTCTGTGTGTTTCTTTCCCTCCTGAAAGACAAACGGTCGGGAGGGGGGTATCCGCTCAGAATTGGTCACCAGACCTCTCCAGAGGTCCACCTGTTTGTTTGGTTTCGACGACACGGGAGCGATGAGACATAGCATCTGACCGCAACCTGATGGGTCCCCACGATTGGAGCAGAGGAGGCCGTACCTGACAACACCGCGGCCTCGCCTGGCACCGCCAACTCGCTCATCAGCGTGAAATTCAATCTGAGCTCGTCGCGGATCCGCTTGTCACTGTCCCAGAGCCCGAAAACGCCCCGCAAAGGCCGAAGAAGGCCCAAGACCTTCTGGAACCCAGAACCTCGAACCTGCCCGCCCTTCCTGCTCGCCAGAACCAGGGCTGGGCCATTTGGGACC